AGAGCTGAGGGGAAAGGGGAGGAGGGAGAGCTGAGGAGGAGGGATACGGGAGGAGGAAGAGCTGAGGGGAGCGGGGAGGACGGAGAGATGACGACGACAAGGAGGAGGGGAACTGAGGACAAGGAGGAGGGAGATGAGAGGGGAGGGAGAGGAGGGAGAGATGGCAGAGCCTCTGGGACAGGGAGGGAGTGCCGTGGGGTGGCCCCAGCTGCCTCCTTAAGATGCCACCCTGCCTCCTGCGGGCCCAGGAGAGCAGCCCAGTTCACTACCCAGAGGAGGCGGGTGACAACCAGGGCCCCCGTTGCCCCCTGGACAACAACTACTCCCACTTCATCCTGGTGGGGCCCGGCGCCTCCAAAGCCGCAGACGGACCCACGGAACTGCGGTTGCAGCTGGAGAAACACATCTCCGAGCAGAGGACGAGCTACGGGGGTGAGGCTCCTGGGGACCTAAACCCGGGGTTGGGGGAGGAGACCTGGGTCAGGGGCAAAGGTGAGGCCACGTTGCAGTGTCCCCAAGCCCTGCAGTCGTGGGCCAGAATTCCCTGCGAGTTGAGTTCTGAAGGTGTTACAAGACCATTTTCCTCTACCCCACCAGGGGGCAGTGCTGCTCAAGGAATGAGCGTCACTGTGACGTGTGGTTGGTTGTTCAATGCGGTGGAGTCGATTCCAACCCTTAGTTGATCCTGGATATGGTTTCCAAGGAGCAACTGGTGAGCTTGGACCACCAAGCTTGTAACCCAAACGACTTTACAGTCTGACGCATTAGCCCACAGTGCCACACCAGGACTCCAGTGGTTGGTTAGAAAGTCTAATTTACCATACATACATTAGCAAATAACTAAATTTTTTAAAAATGAAATGGAACAATAAAGATTCCTATCTTAAGTATTAGTGAGCTGAAGCGAACTGGTATTGGTCATTTCGAACTGATAAGCAGATGGCTTACTATGCCAGAGAATGATAAATTAAAGGGAAGTGGTTTCATGTCCTTCATCAAAAATAACATTTCAAGATCTATCCTTGAAGTACAATGAAGCCAGTGATAGGGTTAGTCACAGGTCTACAAGGAAGACCAGTTAATACAGTCATTATTCAAATATGATGCAATTGAAGAGTTTGTGATGCTGTAGGGAAAACACTGAGGAGCCCAGGTAATGTAGTATGTTCAGAGTTGCCAAAGTCAGTGTTAGAACCTACCAGCCACTCCATAGAGAAAATGAGGCTTTCTGCTCCCGTAAAGATCTACAGCCTCAGAAACCCTCTGCAGGGTCAGTATGAGTCAGAACCAGCTCTATGGCACACAATCACCACAAGGTTGGCAGTTCAAATACACAAACCACTCCTCAGAAACCCTATACCGAGTCTCTGTGAGTCAGAACCACCCACCAACAACAACAGCTTCTTCCGTGTGAAATTGATAAAACATGAAATTAAGATGCATTGATAAATATGCACTGCACTGATGACGGGAATGCAAGAGCTAGCAACAAAAAAGGATCCGTAGTTAGAAAATACGGCCTTGGAGAGAGCAATGACGCCAGAAAGCACATGGTAGAATTTTGCAAGACCAGTGACTTCTTTATCACAAATCACCTTTTTATTTTTTAATGTTTTATTGTGAATTATGTAATAGTTTACATGGGAGAACATTAGTTTTACATTCATCCTATTGTAAATTATCTCATTGCCATGGTTCCAATCCCCTCCGTGCATCATCAACCAACCAAAGAGTATACACTACAAGCCTGCCTCCTGTCATCAGCACACAGCCCCTCTCCCTCTCTGGGTCTAGAGTCCTCAGCCACTCATCTCTCCATCTCTCCCTCCATCTCTGGCATCACTTCTTCTCCGGGTAGGGTCCCCCACTCCACTCTTCTCCCTTGATGGTCCCAGGGACCTCTGCTCCTGGACTGCCAAGTTAATCACTCCCCTCCTTTTGCTAGAAAACATCTACCTTTACATTTCCAAGCCTCACAATCAGGCCTGATAACAATTATTCACTGTTGTACCACAAGAGTCCTATCCCCATCTCCTTTCATCAGCTCAGACAGATTGGGTACTACTCAGTGGAGATTCTACCTTCCTCCAGGCCATCTGGATCTAGGTTCCCTCTTGAAAGCTTGTAAGCCAGTCACTTCTTGCCTTTGTAGCCTCCTCCCCCGCCCCCCATTTTGGGTAGCCAATGTCCAAGTTGCCCATCCCTGTCTACTCTGTGTGTGGAGGGGGTGGGAATGATTCTCACTGTAAGGATTTGTTCCCTCTTTTGAGCTATTGCATCCATAGGTGTAGGTCAAGTTCATCAAATTGTATCAGATTACTCTTTTTTTCCTCTTCTTTCTTCTTCTAGTTGAGCTCTGATCATCCAGTCATTGAAGCCAGATCAAGTGGGTATTATCTGCAAGTGTGGGTGTTCTTGTCCATATGCCCTCTCTTCTTATCAGCTGGACGATCTCACTCTCCACCCTCGTCCTCTGTGGCTATGTCACTTACTCTGGGCCCAAGAGTCCCCAGGTCTTGCCACGCTGCTGGCACAACGGCACCTAATGACAACAATGACTAATATTTAGGAGCTCTGGTGGTGCCGTGGTTAAACACACAGCTGCCAACTGAAAAGTTAGTGATTCTCGCTCACCCCGCGGTTATATGGAAGGAAAAGATTCCCACTGCTGTTGTAGATTGTAACTTGTATCAGCTCTCAAGGACACAGTAGAACTGCCCCGGAGTAGGGTTTCCAAGGCCTTATGGGAGCAGACTGCCTCATCTGTCTCCCAAGAAGCAGCTGGTGGGTTTGAACCGCCAACCTTATTTATTGGCAGCGGAGCCATCATGGCTATTTTGTGAACGATGACAGCCTAGGACACCCTGTGCAGCTGATTGTCTCTGTCACATTGTCACACGGGGGTGTGGTGAGTCAAAATCCATTCAAGGCCACACAAAAACAACGAATATTTCTAAGCAAAATACACAATTGTTTGTAATACATATGGAAGCATGGTAGCTCTGTAGGTAAGCACTAGACTGTAAACCACAAGGTCAGTCAGAGGTTCAAGGAGAAAGATGAAGGAATTGCTCCAAGGGAGAAAGATGAGGCTTTCTGCTTCAGCAAAGATTTACAGTCTTGGAAACCCTCTCCAGGGTCGCTATGGAGTGACACAGCCCCTAACAACAACGTAATACATATTTTAAACAAAAAAAACAAACCTGACTTCACTGTGAGGTCAGTTGTCCACTCTCTGAAAAGCCATAATGCTTGGTCACGTTTAAATCTTCAAAATCCTGGGCACAATTTGCTGCCCTGTTTTTTGGTGGACCTTGGCTGTCCTGGGCTAGCCCTGCCTTACCTCCAAGACTTACTCAAGGGGGGGCGGCCCTTAGACGTTAGGGGGTCTCAACTGGGAGTCAGGTTCCCTCTGAGTGATTCTAAGGCTTGCCAATTGCTTGGTGTTTGAAGCCCCCAGTTAGTTTGCAAGAGACCTTGACAAATGGAGGCATCTCTAGGGGCCGCACATTTGTTAACTCTCTAAAAGTAAATTCCACGGAGTTTACAATGGAGGATTTTCCTGAAGCAGTTAGTCAGGGCTTTCTCATGAGGTACTGCCTCCAACCTTTTGGTCAGCAGTTGAACGCTTTACCGTTTACTCCATCCAGAGAATAGGAACCCCCAAAATGTCTGTTTACCTCTTTGGTTTCCCTCAGTGCATCTCCTCTGATGCCACCTGATAGAACATTCTGGAATCATGGAGACAGTCCATCTGGCCCGTCCAGTGCAGAAGACGTGGGACACTCGAAATGTGTGGCCCCTGTTTACTTACATTGTTGTTGTTGTTGTTGTTAAGTGCTATCGAGTTGTTTCTGACTCATAGTGACCTACTTGTATGAGGATTTCTGAGGAGCGGCTGGGGGGATTTGAAGCATTGACCTGTGGTTGGCAGTCCAGTGCTTATCCTACAGCGCCACACCAAGACTCCTTACTTAACATATATTTTCAGGTTCCCATACTGAAGGGTGTGGATGCCGCGTCGGGGTACTCCATCCCTAGGGGACAGGGCTTGTCATTAGCAGCTCCTGATGTGCAGTCCAGAGCCCAGCATCTCCCTGAGACCTGGTGGGCTCCTCCTGCCTGGCCCCAGGTCTTCTTCTCTCCCCTGCCAACACACTCACTCTTTCCGCAGGCACCGGCAACATGGAAATCCCTGTTCTTTGCCTGCTAGTCAATGGTGATCCCAGCATCCTGGAGGTAGGGGGCTAGGGTGGGCCAGGAACAGGGAGAGGGGGTACAGGAGGAGTATCAGACAGGTGGGCCCAGGACAGCACTTGGGGCTGATGGTGGACTCTGAGTTCCCCTCCCTTCCCTTTCTTCTTCCCTGCCTCTCCTTCCGCCTCCCTCTCCTCCGCAGAGAATCTCCAGTGCTTTGGCACACGCAGCCCCCTGGCTGATCCTGGCGGGCTCCGGGGGCATCGCCGACATCTTGGCTGCACTGGTGAACCAGCCCCACCTCCTGGTGCCTCAGGTGGTGGAGAAGCAGTTTAAAGAGAAGTTCCCCGCTGAGCACTTCACCTGGGAAGACATCCTTCACTGGACCAGACTGGTATGCAGCTGGGGCTGACTCCATCCCTGGGGGACCACCCTCTGCCCTCCAGTTCCCCCGGGACAGCTCCCCTGGCTCCACAGTCCTGGCCAGTCCTGCTTCAGGTCCTTGTGGGGTGGGGGGTCTTGGCATGTGGTGGTCCTGCCCCCTCAAACCTTTGCTTGGCCCCCAGCTGCAGACCATTGCTGTGCACCCGCACCTGCTCACCGTGTACGACTTCGAGCAGGAGGGCTCTGAGGAGCTGGACACCGTTATCCTGAAGGCCCTGGTGAAAGGTAAGGCTGGCAGGGCAGTGCCAAAGACCCTGTGTGAGGCTACAGGGGCACCTTGGTGGTCTCATCACTTCTCAGTGGGAAGACCCCCTGAGGGCATAGAGCAAGGCAGGGGTGCAGGAAGGAGTGGCCACCTGTCCACCCCCACACCAGGACCCTTTGTTCAGCACCGGGCTGCTTCCCTGTTCCTGCCTGGGATCCCAGTCTCCGGAGAGCCAGTGCCTAAAGCTGGACCTGGCACCTCCCAGGGACGATGTCACTGCCCCTGCCCTCAGGGACCACCAGACTCTGTATGTGTACATTTCAGAGGTGTTTATGACAATCACAAAATGGTGCAACCATCCTTACCATCTACTTCCAGAACATTCTCATCTCCCCATGAGGAAACCCCGGATCTACCAGCAATCACTCCCCAATTTCCCCAGACACTTTTGTTGCTAGATGCCATCGAGTTGATTCCAACCCATAGTGCTCCTGTGCACAACAGAACAAAACACTGCCCAGTCCTGTGCCAACCTCGCAATTGTTGTAACACTTGAGCCCATTGCAGTTGTCACTATGCCACCCCGTCTGGTTGGAGGTCTTCCTCTTTTTCTCTGACCCTCAACTTTGCCCAACATGGTGTCCTCCTTCTCCAGGGACTGGTCCTTCCTGATAATATGTCCGAGGCTTAAGAGATGAAGTCTAACCATCCTGGCTTCCAAGGAACATTCTGGTTGTATTTCTTCCAACACAGATTTGTTTGTTCTTCTAGCAGCCCATGGTACTTTCAATGTTCTTCTCCAACACCATAATTCAAATGCATCCGTTCTTCTGTGGTCTTCCTTATTCACTGTCCAGCTTTCACATGCATATGAGGTTATTGAAAATACCATGGCTTGGGTCAGGCTCCCTCCCTTTAGTCCTCAAGCTGACATCTTTGCTCTTCAACCCTTTAAAGAGATCTTGTCAGCAGATTTGTCTGCCAGTACTACTTCATTCGGTTCCTTAACTTCTACTTCCATGTTAATGACGTCTTCAAACAAAATGAAGTCTTTGACAACTTCAATCTTTTCTCTATTTATATGGATGTTGTTTATTGGTCCAATGGTGGGGATGTTTGTTTTCTTCACATTGAGGTGCAGCCAACGCCGAAGGCTGTGGTCTTTCATCTTCCGCTTGAGAAATGCTGATCGTGTTCTTCCCTTTTGGTTTTCTAACTCTTTGCACATTTCATTAGAATATTTCACTTTGTCTTCTTGAGCTGTCCTATGACATTTTCTGTTTAACTCTTTTACTTGCTCTTTTCTTCCATTTGCTTTAATATCGCTATGCTGGAGAGCAAGTTTCAGAGTCTCTTCTGACATTCCTTTCAGTCTTTTCTTTCTTTCTTGCCTTCCTAGTGACCTTTTGTGTTCTTCCTGTATGATGCTCTTGAAGTCATCCCACAGCTCTTCTACTCTTCGGTCTAAAGTGTCTAATGCATCATATCTGTTCTTGAGGTGATCTCTGAAGTCAGTGGGATATTTTCAAGGTCATATTTTGCTTTCATGGAACTTGTTTTAATTTTCTTCAGCTTCAGCCTGAACTTGCATAAGAGCAATTGTTGGTCTGTGCCACAATCTGCCCCTGGCCTTATTTTGGCTGATAATATGGGAGCTTTTCCACCATCCCTTTCCACAGATGTAGTCAATTTGATTTCTATGTATTCTGTCTGGTGAAGTCCAAGTATATAATCTATCATCTTTTATGTTGTGGGAAAATGATATTTGCAATGAACAAATCACTGGTCTTACAAAATTCTTTCATGGAACCCCCAGCACCATTTCTATCACCAAGACCATATTTTCCAACTATTGATCCTTCCTCTTTGTTTCCAACCTTTGCATTCCAATCACCAGTAATTATTAATACATCTTGATTGCATGTTTGATTGATTTCAGGCTGAAGAAGTTTGTAGAATTCTTCAATTTCATCATCACTGGCTTCAGTGGTTGGTGCATAAATTTGAATAATAGTAATATTAACTGGTCTTCCTTGTTGTTGTAAAGTGCCGTCGAATCGATTCCGACCCATAGCGACCCTGTATAGGGTTTCCAAGGAGCAGCTGGTGAGCTTGCAACCACCAACTTTGCAGTCTGATGCATTAGCCCACAGCTCCACGCCAGGACTGCTTGTAGGCATATGGATATTATCCTATCACAGACAGTATTATACTTGAAGGTAGATCTTGGAATGTTCTTTCTGATGATGAATGTGACACTATCCCTCTTGAATTTGTCATTCCTGACATAGTAAACCATGTGTTTGTCATATTCAAAATGGCCAATACCAGACCATTTCAGCTCACTAATGCCTAGGATATCGATGTTTATGCGTTCCATTTCATTTTTGACAACTTTGGATTTTCCTGGATTCATACTTTGTATATTCCAAGTTCCAATTATTAATGGATGTTCACAACTGTTTCTCCTCATTTTGTGTTGTGCGCCCACCCCCGCAAGCGCTAGGCAACCACTAATCTACTTCCTGTCTCTTTGGATGCCTCCTATGAATGGGCTAACAGGAGGTGAGGTCTTTTTGTGATGACTCATTTCCCTCAGCATGTTGTGTTCAAGGCTGGTGCCAAGCCTTGGCTCCTTTTCACAGCTGCACAATGCTCTACTGGAGGACGAACCACAGCTCCTTTAGTCCTGCGTCCACCAATGGACATTGGAGCTGGCTATGATGCTTTGTGCTTTTTATTGGAGACACAGCCCCAAAGCGGGAAGGGGGCACACTGAGCCAGGAGAGGCCCATCTGATAGGCTGCCAGAGTCCCTCAGTCCTGAATGCCAGCTACTATCTGAGCAGTAAAAAACCGAACTGAGGCCAAGAGCCCCTGTACCATGTGAGAAGGTACCCTGCTCCCAGGCACAACCACATACACTAAGGTCCCACAAGCCTGGCATGTCTGGGTCAGGGGACAATGGCGGGTCTCCATTGGACAACACTAAACCCTGGACAATCCCCTAAGAGTGGACCTTCCAGGACGAGGAACCGCAAAACCTCCCTCCCTATGTCAGAAAAGGGTCTGGGACCTCCACTGCCAGGAAAGAGTCTGATAGTCCACAGTGTTAACTGAGACCCTCCTGGCACCCCCATTCCTCTTATTACTTCAGAGCTCTGGGAAGTGGGAAGAGGTGTGGGGAGGGTGCCCCTTTCTGGCGATCGGGTCAGGCCCCCACCTACCTCAGCTCTGCTCAGCCTATCCCAGCAGAAGGGAGGTGAGCAGAGTGTCATTTGGGAGACACTTACCAAGCCTTGTGTCTCTCCTGTTATTTGGGGGTAGTGAATGACCCATCCGTCACAGCGCCCCCCCCCCCGTGGATGCATCTAGAAGACTGATTTGGGGGGTGGCTGTAACCCTCACCGTCATCTCCTCCCATCGGTTCGACCCCCAGCCTGCAGGAGTCACAGCCAGGAGGCGCAGCACTACCTGGACGAGCTCAAGCTGGCCGTGGCCTGGGATCGCGTAGACATCGCCAAGAGCGAGATCTTCAACGGGGACGTGGAGTGGAAGGTGCTTAATCCCACCCCAACCCCCTGGGTTAGGTGGGCCCCCACCAACTGACCAACTGTCCACCTGGGCTGTGTGGGGTCCTGAAGGGCGGACCAGGGACATGGCGAGGCCCAGGGTGGCCCGAGGGTCTGCACCCTGCACAGAAGCCAGTGCCCAGAGCCCTCGTCCCCCTGACGCCCACCGCCCCGCCTAGTCCCGGGATCTGGAGGAGGTGATGATGGATGCGCTGGTAAACGACAAGCCCGAGTTCGTGCGCCTCTTCGTGGACAACGGTGCCGATGTGGCCGACTTCCTGTCGTATGACCGGCTTCAGCAGCTGTACCGCGCGGCGCCCCCCAAGAGCCTGCTCTTTGAGCTACTGCAGCGCAAACACGAGGAGGGCCGCCTGACGCTGGCCGGCCTGGGTGCCCAGCAGCCCCGCGAGCCGCCCACCGTCCCCGCCTTCTCCCTGCATGAGGTCTCCCGCGTGCTCAAGGACTTCCTACACGACGCCTGCAGGGGCCTGTACCAGGACTGCCGTGCTGGGGTAGGGCCCGCCCCCACTGCGGTGAGGGGGCGGGGCGATCGGGAGGGGCGGGGCCTGCACGGAGCTGGGCGGGCATGAAGGCCTTGGCTGCGCCCTCCAGGAGAAGGGTCCGGCCAAACGGCCCACAGGACAGAAGTGGCTGCTGGACCTGAGCCAGAAGAGCGACGACCCCTGGCGGGACCTGTTTCTGTGGGCGGTGCTGCAGAACCGCCACGAGATGGCCACCTACTTCTGGACCATGGTGAGCAGGCCTTGCTTGGCCCCCGACACTGGGAAGGGTCTCCTCCAAGCCTTGGGCTCCTCCAGGGTTTCCAGAAAGGGTCCTGGAGGGGTGTCCGCCTCAGAGCTGGTTTCCCAGGGTCAGGAGGGTGTGGCAGCAGCGCTGGCCGCTTGCAAGATCCTCAAAGAGATGTCCCACCTGGAGACGGAGGCCGAGGTAGCCCGCACCATGCGCGAGGCCAAGTACGAGCAGCTGGCCCTGGGTGAGTGGGAGAGGACGGAAGACTCGCCTGTCCCTGCCTCTGAAGGGGACCCTAGTATCGTGAGCAACGGGGGCCAGGCCTGCAATGATGACACTGCCTTGCCCGGGCAGACCTGGTGCCCTGCACGGGGTTGGGAGGGTCACTCGAGGGTGTGGGGACATTCGGAGAGGGGACATTTGCGGATGGGAGCTCTGGAGACTCTTAGGTTTGGATAGGCCCACGAACCGCCAAAAATCAGCTGCGTGGAAACAAAGGCAGAAGGGGCCCGGAAGGAGCGGGTGGGCCGTGGAAGTGGAGGCGCCAGAGGTCCAGTCTCGGCAGCGCCCCGTACCTGTGGCCGGCAGAGCTCTTCTCGGAGTGTTACGGTAATAATGAGGACCGCGCTTTCGCCCTGCTGGTGCGCCGGAATCGCAGCTGGGGCAAGACAACCTGTCTGTACTTGGCCACTGAGGCCGACACCAAGGCCTTCTTTGCCCACGACGGTGTGCAGGTAAGGGGGACCCCACATTCTCCAGGCGTCCTACCCTTCTGCAAACCCCACCTCTGGCCACTGTAGCTTTCCCAGACTTGCCGATACGTCCAGTCCCTTGCCCCACCTGGGAGTTTAACCCCCACTAACCGCTGAGCACCCCCTTTCACCAGGCCTTTCCTAGAGTGATAGCAAATCACGGAGAGCAGGCACTTGGGTGGGTATCCTGGCTGGGGTGGCATCGTGTGGAGGTTGACCAGTGACCACCTGTCTTGCAGGCCTTCCTCACTAGGATTTGGTGGGGGGACATGGCCACAGGCACACCCATTCTGCGTCTGCTAGGAGCCTTCATCTGCCCTGCCCTCCTTTACACCACCCTCATCACCTTCAGGTACACAGAGGGACCGTCTGCCCTAGGCTCTGGGGGTGCCGGCCAGTGTCCTCCTGCCTGGCATTCCTGCAGCTCATTCCATGTAACCTCCATGTGCAAGTGGGTTCATCTCTCTCAGTGCACCTAGTAGGCTCCTTGCTGGTTGGTGGGTGTTCAAGGCCACGGAGGTACCTCTGAGAGCCTTAAAGTACCGAGTGCTCCATACCCCACAGCGAGGAGGCCCCACTGAAAGAAGGCCCAGAGGCCCTGCAGGAGTTGGACAGTCTGGACACAGAGAGGAGCTTGCTCAGCAGCCCAGACAACCGGTACCAGCCTGGGCGAGGGACTCAAGGGTGGACAGCAAGCTAAAGGAACTTGTGGGGCATCCACCCACCTGCTCACCATCAGGACCTCTTTTGTGGCGCAGGGTAGATGAGCCGGAGTTGCCGAGGGCTCTGTGCCTCCACCGTGGGCCCAGGGCTGCCTCCCTGCTCATGCGCTGGCGGAAATTCTGGGGCGCTCCTGTGACCGTGTTCCTGGGGAACGTGGTCATGTATTTCGCCTTTCTCTTCCTGTTTACCTACGTCCTGCTGGTGGACTTCCAACCACCACCCCAGGGGCCTTCAGCGCCAGAAGTCACCCTCTACTTCTGGGTTTTTACCCTGGTGCTGGAAGAGATCCGGCAGGTCAGTTTGGCACTGCGTCCACCCTCTCAGCCAGCAACTCTTCAGCTGCAGAACAGAAGCAGCATGAGGGGCCTTGAGAGGAGCTCTGACACCTGAGCCTTGTACCTGGATGTAGACTGAGCCCTGATCCCAGTCCAGACTGAGCCCTGATCTCAGTTGCAGACTGAGCGCTGATCCCAGCTCCAGAGAGGCGTTTGTCCCAGCTCTAGACTGAGCCCTGATCCTAGCTCCAGAGAGGCGTTTGTCCCAGCTCTAGACTGAGTCCTGATCCCAGTCCAGACTGAGCCCTGATCCCAGCTCCAGAGAAGCCTTTGTCCCAGCTCTAGACTGAGCCCTGGTCCCAGCATCAGACTGACCCTAGTCCATCCTTGAGTCTGGTTCCCTGCTCCAGTCTGATTCCAGTTCCAGACCAAGCCCTTATCT